CTTAAGATTCCTCTCTTTGATTCTGTGTGTGATGTATGTATGTGCACATGTACAAGGGTATGTGTGTGGGTAGTGTGTGTGTGTGTGTGTGTGTCTTTGGCTTTCTCTGAACCTTGAATGATGCAGAACTTCTCTCTATCCATCTCTCCCACTGGCTCTGCCACCGTGAAATTCCTGTTTTCTTTCTCCAAAAAGCTCACAATGGGGCTGGCCCACTGTCACTGCTGCCTCAGTTATCTGAAGGTGCTTGGGGGTTGGATTATCCACTCTCTTGCCTTTTCTGTCAGTTCCTTCCTTCAGCACTTCCTCCTCTGGAAGGCAGCAGCCAGAAGGACTAGCCCAAGGAACTGAAACTCAGATCTCATGATGTTTATGTTTTTGGCTGGTTTTTGCTTTACAAAAATAAGTAAAGGAGAGAAAACAGAAAGATGATGAAAGAGAAAAGGTTCCCAGGAGGAAAGGATAAACTCTGGGCTCAAATTGAGATTGGGATTAGCTGGGAATGTAGGTTATTCATTCTGGCCTTTGCTCCTAATTACCACTGGTAATTGAGAGCAGGGAGGCATTGTCAGCCTTAGCAGATGGAGCTGTTCTCCTTGCTTATCTGGTCTTGGCAGGACAAGAAGGATCCGGGCCCTGGGCCTGGGCCTGCAGAAGGCTTTATGTTTGTCTGGTTCAACCTGGCCTCCCATCTCCTGTCCCGGTGCTGTCTCATCCACTCCTGCTTTGCTTAGTTCCCTATACTGTGTGTGATCAGTCAGTAGAAGAGGAGGCTGTGGGTTTATTGGAGGCAATGACTGGACTTGGTTTTATTTCTTCTACAGGATGTGTTTTAGTTGTGTCTCTCTTTTTGAGGTTGTCAGAGTTTTCAAGGGAAGCTTTAGCTACTCATTGCCAAGTGAGGAATGACCCAGGTTTCACCTCTCTCCATCACCCTAGGGATGGGATGATTGTTCCCTCTCCCCTCTTCTTTATTATATTTTCCAAGTACACACAGACAGTCCTGGCCTATTCCCATAGTCACTGGGCCAGATTTTCTCATCTTTTCCTCTTTCCCTCCACTTTTTAAAGCAGCAATGGAGTGTTTTAGTACAACAGCGTGTGTCCACTTTGGCGGACAGTGTGTGTCCACTTCTCCTCTCTCTTTGAATCAGTGATGGTGAAGAGACCCTTGAAATCTACCCCATGTCTTGCATTCTAGAAGGGAAAATGGATAGTTGTGAGTTTTGAGATTCACTTGGGAGCTGACTGAAAAGAGCTGGGTGTGACAGTGTTTACTAATCAGCACTTGCATGACTTCTGGAGAAGAACTGAGGGAATAATTTGATTGGTTGATTAGTTGATTGATTGAAGGACTTGCATGTGCTACAAAAATACAGTATAGATTGAGTAAGAGTGAGTCAGTCTCTATGTCTTGATTACCTATTGGCTGTATAAAAACTACTTCCAAAGTTACTGGATTATGATAAAAATTATTCATTCTTGCTAACTTGTGGGTTGACCTGGTGGTTCCTTAACTGGTTTTATCTGAATTCACTTGTGGACTTATCCAGATGAAGGATCAGTGGGGCTGGAGTATCCAAGATGACCTCTCAAAAATGTCTGGTAGTCGTGCTGCCTGTGGGCTGAGCTGCTTCTGTTTCCTCTGTCTCTCCTTCTCCAGGAAGCTAGATGGGCTTCCTTATGTGATGACCTCAGGATAGCTTCCAAGAGAGTGAAGGCCATAGGCCTCTGAAGTCCTTGGCTGGGCCTTTCAGCATCATCCCTCTGCCACACTATTGGTCAAAGGCAATGAGAGTCAGTGTGGATGAGTCCCCATCCACAAGGGCATGAGGACAGGAGGGGGGATTACTGGGAACTGTTTTATAATAAGCTAGTATATAAACTGAGTAAATGAAAGTGCAGGATAGGGTAAAAGTGAGGTTAGCCTGTGGCAATGAAGGATGTTGTTGTAAAGAGATGGAGAACAAAGCTGGGCTAGAATCCCAACTGTAGTTGTTTGCTCTTGATCACATCACCCAGCCAGTCTGTGTTCCTGCATCCTCTTCTGGGGTAGTAACGCCTGTCCTAGAGGCTGGGAGGAGGGTGATATGAGTTCATGCCAAGCTAGGCACATGGTAAACACTGAGGTAGATATTGGCTGCTGTTATTTGTTGTAGTTCTGTAATGGTAGGAAAATTACAAATTTGGTTTTAAGTTTTTTATTGTGAGAAAAGAAAGAAAAATACCACGGAACAAGCTTTGTTGTGTGCTTAAACTGAGAAGATAGTGGTAGTTTGGAAGAAGCTGAGCTCTCTCTTGCACAGTTTGGAACACAGCAGATTTGGAGTCATCCAAAAATCAGTGTGTTTTCCTCCAGGAGCAAGCTGTTAGAGGTAGAATCATCTTGGGATGGCAAGGTCGGCTTGACCATCCGTCGCTGTTACTGGAATCCCCAGCCTTCCTCTTTGCTGGCTGAGGGAACTTGGGAAGATTCTTGAGTCTGTCTGAAGTTCAGCTCCCTTGTCTACAAAGCAGGCATTCTCTTAGTGCTTGCCTCACATGGGTGATGAGGCAGGTAAAGCCCTTTGTCTCTCCCCTGGCCCATTTTACTCAATGCATATTTGCTTTTATTATTGTTAGCTGTAAACATGATTTTGAGGGAGATTTTCTCTTAATAAAAGACAAGCTGTGTACTCTTCACTAATGGATGGTGCTATTATAATAACTGTTCCTGTCTTCCTGGTTAGTGGGCACCAGAACTTGAAGGGACTGTATTAAAGTCATGAATAGGAAAATAATAAATATATAGAGTACTAAGTTCTGAATTTAGACTTCTCTTTTATTCCATGCTATCCATTTTCCCAGAGTAGTGAACTTTATCCTTTTTTGAATTAATTCTCCGCAGAAGCTGACTGTAAACATTTCTGAGCAGCCTTCGAGGACTTTCATAAATCCATCAACAGGGCCCAAACCATGGTGCACACCTCTTCTGACACGGCCACTGTCCACATTTCCATGAGCTTGAGGACTCTCGGGTTCATCCCCTGGAGGGGTGGGGAAAGCCTTCCTTCTTGCCTCCAGTCTGACTTTGGTCTGATTTATGCCTTGAGGAGGTTGGCTGGAGAGCCTTAATTTAAAGCCTCTGTTAAAGGTTGTTACAGAAACATGGTGCCAGTAAAACACTGTTTTCCCTCACTTTGCCTCCTCTATTGCTTCTTTCATGGCATGAAATGTGAGGCAGGAAAATAAGGCTACTAAATGGGAGTTGGGGGAATGGTTGCAAACCTCTTGTAAAATCCTCTTGAAGTTGACTTGGCACCATCCTCTGACAGGGGCTGAAGTCAAAGTTTTGGACCTTTTCGCTAAGTTTCCCAAGCCCCTTCCTCTCCCTACTCAGTTTCAGTCTCTTTCTGAAGTTGTCTCTAGATGCTGTTTTGCAATAGTTGTAAATGGAGGTGCATCTCTAGTCTGGTGTTCTGCAGCTATTTACACTAGCCAAGGAGATTTTCTTTAGCTTTGTTGCATTTGTGTTATGAAAACAATAGTTCTTATTTCATTTTCCAAATCAAAGTTACATTTCTGTGAATATGTCATATATGCCTGCCTCTTAGTCCTCAGATATTTTTAGGCCCCTAAGGAAATATTTTTCTTACTTTGCAGTGAAAATCCCTGGGCTGTTGCTCATCAGGATTTTTCTTAGTAGTGGGACAAAGAAGGATTTTTTTCCTTCATCTGAATCATTTCTCTAAGATGGTGTTGTGTGCACCTAAGGCTCTGTATACACCCATGGCTTATTTGTGCTTTCCCCAAGAGTGTGTCATTTTGAGTAGAGTTGAGTTTCTGTTATTTTGATCATTTGCACAGTGTTTAGTGAGTAGCACGGTTCTTCAGGTTCCTGATACCATATGGCTGTTCTAAGAGTGACGTATCGCACCATATCATAGAAATTCTAGGGGTTGCCCAAGACCTATAGTCCCATGAACTTGTTCAAGAGGAAAGTTATAGAATAGCATTCAAGAGAGAAATGAAGTCATCAGACTAAAGTAAGAGTACTAGTTCATGATGTGATCCCTTGTTTTGTAAAGAAAGAATAGGTGCATGTGTGTGTTTGCATGTGTCTGTGTGCATAGGGAAGATTTAAAGAAAGTGGAGGGTTTAACTTTGATGGGATTATGGGTTTTTAAAATTCCTTTATAAGAGAGAAAAATGCACTACTATTTATTTTTAGTAATTAAAGCCTAAAGAAACAAAAGGCAGAAAGGGGAACCAGGCTGGTTGACCGGATAGAATAGCCAAGTAGTGTAAGGTTCCATATAGGTGGCCCCGCCTGGTACAGGGTCTCCTACACTGACTCCAAGGAAATCTGCTTTGGCTGTTCAGACACAGTCACATGTTTGTGAAGGGGCAGAATGCACACACCTTCCTGGCAGGCTGGTTTTCTCTCCCGTTGCATGGAAGCAGCCTTGTGTGATCCCTTCAAGTCCGTCAGCCTACTTCATCCTGCTGTGTTGGAATGTGGGAAGGAGCTGGGCTTGGCTCTTGCTTCTGTTCCTCTTAGGTGCCAAGCATCACTCTGCATGGGGCTGGTGGCCATGGCTCTGTCCGGCTGTGTCTGGGCTGGGGAGTGTCTACATACACAAGCACTGTTGCACCAGCTTGCAGCCCCTGGCTCCTGTGTAGGCCTCTTCTGGAGCCAGTAGACAGCAAGCACATCAACAGGAATCACTCTGAAAATGGAAGAAATTCCAGCCCTGGTGCATAGTACACCAGGCTGGTTTGTGGCTGCAGCAGAGTTCAGTTGTGGAGAACACTGATGAGCCCTGGCAGTCTGGACCCCCAGCCCCTCACCCTGGGCTGGCGTGCAAGAGACACAGCCTGTCGGTGATGATTCATCTAACAAACCGTTGGTTCCTTGGGCAAGGCCTGGTCCTTGCCGTTTACTTTGGATGCTGATATAGAAGGTGGGAATGACAAATCACAGAAGTGATAGTCACCAGAGGCTGCATCTTCTCTTACAGAGAAAGTACACTCATGTGACCAGGAAAGGCAGAGTGCCCTGGAAGAGGCTCGGCAGAATCCCCGAGAGGGCATTGTCATCCCCGAGTGTGCCCCTGGGGGGCTGTACAAGCCAGTGCAGTGCCACCAGTCCACTGGCTACTGCTGGTGTGTGCTGGTGGACACAGGGCGCCCGCTGCCTGGGACCTCCACACGGTAAGCCCACTCAGGCCTGTCCTGACACAAGTGGACCAATTTATGGGCATCCTGGCATTTCTCAGCTTTACTTCCCTGGCTTGGTAGGAGTTCAGTCACAAGGAGACCAAATTTCCCATTCATGAGCAGATAAAGTTCTGGTAGAAAGACCCCAGGACCTGGAATCTGGTCACAGATCTGTCCCATTCCAGCTGTTCTCTGTGGAAAAGTACTAAATATATCTGAACCTCACTTACCAGATGAGAAGATTGTTGGGCAGCTTGACTTACTAGGTTCTATGGACCAAAAGAGATCCTGTGTGCCGATCTAAAGTGCCATCATTATTATGCTTGAGAGGTTAAAACGATATGCCTGAACATGTCTCAGTGGGCACATTTCTTCTGGATTGCCTTGTAGCTGCTGGACAGTGCAGGGGATATTTTGCTATGAACCCTGAGGACTCTGGGTTTGATGACAACATAGATCATTGCCAGGCAGAAGTGGCTGCAGGAGGCTCAGTTCCAGCTCCTCCCAAGCCCTGTGTCTCTCTCTTCCCAGTTATGTGATGCCCAGCTGCGAGAGTGATGCCAGAGCCAAGAGCGCGGAGGTAGAGGATCCCTTCAAGGACAGGGAGCTGCCAGGTGGGAGACTCTACCTTGTGGCACCTTCATGTCTTCTGTTCCTCTGTCCCCTCGTTGCAGAAGCAGCAGCCTCCTCCTCTGGGTCCCTCCCCACATGCAACATGGAGCATGGGATGCTGGACAGGTGCATTACAGGAGCATGGAGCCAGAGCTGTGGATTCTGTACCCCAGTCTGGGGTTTGTCCCTGATTAAGGACATCACTTCCCCTCGTTCTTGTGTCTATGTATAGAATGTAGTCATTGAGTTAAAACCCTGTCCCTATAATTATGTAATCCATTCCCCATCCTAGTGCAACTGGGGAAATGTTTCTGGGGCTCTGAACCATTTTTTCCAGGGCTGTGAAGAGAAGGCAACTTATAGGAAGGGTCTATCCTGAACAGTCTGGGCAATGCTTGTCACCTGCCTTTCAGAGTTTTTTTGTGGTGACAGAATGACCATGTAGGCAGGGTGAGTGGTGGGAGTGATAGGAGACACACAGGCAGGGGTGCAGAACCTCAAAGTGGCTGCAGTGCTAGTTTCCCTTATTCATCATGAACTCTGCCTGTGTGCTACAGTAAGATTACTAAATATCAGGGTCTTGGAATCCTGAGGACTACTCAGCACAGAGACAGGTGGGAAGTGGGGCCACCTTTCCATGACCCATCAGGGCTCTGAAGTGAAAACTGAAAGCAGAGAGTCTTGAGAGTCAGTGCTTTCCATGGGAGGTAGGTAGAAATCACCCTGTCACAAAAATGGAGTCCTGAGGCTAGTGCACCTTCTTGTAGCCATCCCCTCAACAGAGGAGGATGTAGGATGAGATGAGGGTGTAGCTATGGAGGTTTATTTCTGCTTGAGGTTTTGCTGGAATAATGCACTGAGAAGAAGAAGAACAAAGCATGTGGGAGTATTTACAAGAGAAATTCTACAGTTATGATCTCAACTGGTTGAGGGAGGAGTAAAACAGGAGGAGGTAATTTGGAAAAGTGGTGATCTAAGGCAGCCTGGGCCAGTGAGGATCCCCGCACCCCACAGCACCATGTGCTGCCATAGCCTCTACTTCTCACCCGTAGAGCAGCATTGTCCTCCCTTTAGGGTGACTGCCTGGTCACTGTCTTAAACAGGTCAGCACAGGATATGACAACTTTCACAAGGATAAGGGCCTTCTTGTCTCTCTAGCATTTAAAGTAGCCCATGAGTTCGTACCCAGCAAAAATTGGTGCAATGGGCCTGGGGATTTAGCTCAGTGGCACTGTACCTGCCTTGAAAATGCAAGGTACTGAGTTCAATCCCCAGTACCCCCCCAAAAAAGATTGGTGCAATGGAAGAAAATTGAAGCATTTTTATCCTTTTTGCCTAATGATCCCTTGTGGGCTATGAGGGGAGGGGTGCTGGAGTCTGTGAGAAGCATCTGAGCATGCACACATCCCCCCCTGGACAAGAAGGACTTCACCAAATCTGCGAAAAGATGGTCATTAAAAATACTATTTACCCGTTCATTTACCTGGCATCTGTCTTCAAATCTCATTTTATTTTTTAGGCTGCCCAGAGGGAAAGAAAATGGAGTTTATCACCAGCCTACTGGATGCTCTCACCACTGACATGGTTCAGGCCATTAACTCAGCAGCGCCCACTGGAGGTGGGAGGTGAGAATGTGAGCAGGACGGAGGCCCAGTGGGAATTTGGGGACCTGTACTCTTCAGGTGCTGAGGGAGGGCAGGGAAGGCTTGGGCAGGGCAAGGGCTGGAACTCTGTCCTTCCTGGATCCGCCTACCCATGGCTGTGACCCACCTTCTGAAAAACTCTTCCTACTCCTCACGCTTCCCTAGTTTGTTTGTTTTTCATTAAGTTTATTGGTGCATTTTAGGTACACAGTACAGTTACATTCATCACTGGGGTCTTGTACCTTTACATGACAGGTCTTGGTTCTCATTATTTCCCCATTCCCCTGTCCGCCCTTCACCCCCCCTCCTATTTACAAAGACTTTGCTTCTATTTTTTTCTTTTCTCTTATTTTTTCTTTTCCCTATTGCCTTTCTCCTACCCTTTCCCCTTGCCCCACCCTCTTCCCATTTCACATTGTCAGATATGCAACTTGGATCTTATTTACACTCTTAGTTTTTCATCCCAGAGAACTGTTTGGTATTTACACATGTGTGTCTTATTTATTTCACTTGAGTATGCCTAATATGCATCCATTTTCCTTTGAATGACTCCAATTTCTCATTCTTTGTGGCTGAGTAGTATTCCATTTTATAGAAAAACCACATCTTCTTTATTCAGTCTCCAACTGATGGGCAATTGGGCTGTTTCCAAGTCTTATCTATTACAAACTGTGCCGTGCCACTATAAACACGAGTGTGCATATATCACCGTGGTATGATTTTTTTTTTCAGCTTTAATCGAGTTTATTGGTACATTTTAGGGATACAGTACAGTTACATTCATTGTTGGGATCTTGTACCTCTACATGACAAGTCTTGATTCTCATTTTTTCCTCTTACCCCTGCCCTCCCTTCACCCCCTTGTCCCCTCCCCATCTTGATTTTTAAAATTCTTTTGGAAAGATACCAAGCAGAGGGATAGCTGGGTCAAATGGAACCTTTAGTCCTAGTTCTTTGAGGTATCTCCATATTGCTTTCCACAGTGGTTGCACCAGTCTGCACTCCCACCAACAAGGGAGAAGGATTCCTTTCTCCCCACAGTCCCACCAACATTTGTTATTGGTTGATTTCTTGATAGCAGCCATTCTTTGTGCGGTGAGGTGGAATCTCTGTGTTGTTTTCATCTGTATTTCTCAGATGACCAGTGATGTTGAACATTATTTCACGTGTTTATTTGATGCTTTTATTTCTTTGTCTGAGAAATGTCTGTTCATTTCAGATACCCATTTTTGAATTGAGGCTTTATATTTGGGGGGCCTGATTTTTAAAAGTTCTTTATATATTCTAGATAGTAGTCCTTTGTCTGAGGAATAGCTGATACAATTTTTCCCCACATTGTAGGTTGTCTCTTAGCTGTCTTGGTGGTTTCTTTTGCAGTGCAGAAGCTTTTTAATAAGATGAGATCCCAGTTGTTGATTCTTTGTGCTAGTTCCCATGCTACTGAGGATTTTTCAAAAAGCCTTTTCCTGTGCCAATGTCTTTGAGAGTTCTACTTAACTTATCTGCCAGAAAGGTTAGTGTTTCTGTTTAATATTTAGATCTTTAAACCACTTGGATTTTAGTTTAGTGCATGGTGAAATAGGGGTCTAGTTTTAATCTTTAACAGGTTGAAATCCAGTGTTTTCAACACCATTTATTAAAGAAGCTATCTTTCTTTCAGTGAGGATGGTTGGCCCATTTATCAAAGATGAGGTTAGTGTCCCTAGTTTTTGAGTTACCTGTAGCTTCTAGTTATAGTACCTGGTTTACAGGGCTGCCTGTTTAATCTCAGAAGGGGAGGTATTAGAGTGGCAGAAAGGGTGATGGGCATCTGATGAGGGCAGGCAGGAAACACAAAGCACTTTGTACTTTTCTTCTCTGAGAAGGCAGGCGACTTGTACGTTTTGGCCACCTGATAACCCCAAGGAGCTTTGGGCAATGGAATAGCTACTCTCATAGCCAAGTCTAACTCTGATTAAGAGTTAATATGGTACCTGCAGTAGTCCTGACATGAGGATGACATACACTTGCTTCCTTAGCAGCATCACTGGAGCTCGCTAGTTTGAGCCCCTTGAGTCAGTTGGTTGGAGCAAACCTCTATGTCCATCCATTGAGGACACAAAAAGTCCTGGACCAAGGGCAAAGTGTTCAGGCATATAAGGAATGTCCTTGCCTTCAAAGAGTGCAGCCCAGTAGGGATGCTGGACCATAGAGAGATGCTTACAAACTATAAGGTAAGGGCTAGGAGAGAGGAGGAAGAGAAAGATTAACTCAATGCAGAGGAGTCAGAGAAAGTTTCTTGGAGGAAGCGATAGCTGGGCTGGGCTTTGAAGGATAGGTAGGATTTAACTAGTTAAAGGAGAGAGAAAACTATCCCACCCAAGAAAGAGGAAGGATTACTGTGACTCCAGGAAAGTGTAAGTCTATAGTTTGGTATGGCCAGGCTGAGGCAAGGAGAGGGACAAAGAGGAGGCAGAGGGGAACAAGGATGAAGAGGAGAGAAGGGTAATGACAAAGCAGGCAGGAACCAGATCCCAAAGAGCCTGGGAGAAATACCAAGAGTTCTAGTTAGAAAGCCATACAGGGAGGTGGGGTAGGGGCTGGAGGAAGGGAAGGGAATGGAAGGAGGGACTGTTCAGGCTTCTTATAGCAGGAGAAGAGATATGAGGTACCATGGGCAGCAGAAGGATGGACAGCCCGCCTCCAAGCCTGTGTGCCTCACCGAGGATGCAGAGCTCATTCTGCAGCACCTTCCCAGAAGTGGAGCGTTGTCACTCTGGCAAAAAGTGACATAGTAGGAGGACAGACATAGGCCCTGGGCCCCATAGAAAGAGCAAGGCCAATAAACACGTGAAGAAATGTTCAACATCACTGGCCATTAGAAAAATACGCGTTTGGAAAAATGCCTGCTGTGTCATGCAGAGCCAGGCAGAGGACACAGTAGTCCCCTTATCTGTGGTTTCTCTTTCTGTGGTTTCAGTTGCCTGCTCAAGTGTGGTCTGAAAGTATTAAATGGAAAATTTCAGAGATAAATAGTTTATATGTTTAAATAACTTTTAATATAATGTGTTGTTATAATTGTTCTTTTTATTATCAGCCGTTGTTAATGTCTTACTGTGCCTAATTTATAAATTAAACTATCTTATATATGTTAGGAAAAACATAGTATACATAGGGTTTCATACTATCCATGCTTTCAAGGGTCTTAGAATGCATCCTGCCTGGATAAGGGGAGAGTATTGTACTTATGTTGATTAGGAGAGAGGGAAAAGGAGGAAAGCAGGAGGGTGCATGGGCTGAGAAATCCTAGTTCTGGGTGGTCCCAGCCCTTAATCTCTGAAGCTCTGGGCTCTGACCACCAGCTCAGGGACCCTGTCTGGCCACTGTGCTTTTGTCCTGGAGAGAGGAGACTCCAAGCTCCACCCTGTTGTTCCTCGATAGAGCTGCAGCCCTGGGTGGCTGCAAGGTCTTGGCACAGAAACCCAGAAGTTAGGGTTGGTGTCTTATCCTCTAGTCACAGGCCCATGGGATTTTTACAGAAAATGAAAACTAGAAAATGTATAATTTTTTTTTTAATACCAGTGTGTCCTTAGGGAAGAGTTTCTTTTTTCTTTTTAATTTTATTTTAACCACTGCTTTTAAGTGTAATTTATATTTGGGAGAAGTTTTCTTAAAAAAAAAAGACTTTCTAAAACATGTTTTTCATTTAAAGCTCATGTTAGCCTGACATGCTTGGTTTTGGTAGGTGAACTGTTTCGGGTAGTTGTATTACTTAGAGCTTGATTTTTTAATCAGCAGACACATTGGATGGACCAAGAAACAGTTTAGAAATCAAGGAAGGTGGTGAGGAGAATGGGAAAGAGAGAGAAAAACAGTCAGACAGAGAGGTAACTGGCCAGGGTTGCCTGCTTTCCCGGGTTTCAAGCCTCCCAGATCTTCCCATCACACTGAGCATCAGCCTGATGCTAAGTCTTGCTGGCCCTTCCAGTGTATTCCCCCCCACCTCCCACCACTGTGTTGGAGACTCTGGTCCTCCTTGCTTCCTTTGGCAGGGCAAGCTCTTGACTGCCCGGGGACTCCATCCCAGTCACTCCTTCAGCCCAGCTTGGCCCTCGCTTATTCTCTTAGACATCACCTTCTCAGAGACCACCTAGCCTAAAGGAGCTGCTTGGTGGCCTGGCTCTTCTCTCCTCTGATGTTTTGCTGGCTCTTATATGTAGGGTCCGTTTCACCTCACCCACAATGGAGACAGTGGGAAGAAGGGACAGGGCCATGTGAGGGTGGTACAGTAAAGCAGGTGTCTTCTTCCATACCTACCACCTCTCAGGTGTGGTGATTTTGTCTCCGCATCAACTCTCAGAATTAAGCTGATGCTTAATTCTAGGAACATTTGGGGAAAAGGGCACCACAGTCCCTGGCCTGGAAAAGATACATACATATATATACATATATATATACATATATATATGTATATATACATATATATATGTATATATATGTATATGTATGTATGTATATATCCATAGGGCTGATCGGAGTGTCTGTGATCATTTGCTGGGTCTGCGGGGAGGAAGAGTGGTTATTTTCTCCGCATCAACTCTCAGAATTAAGCTGATGCTTAATTCTAGGAACATTTGGGGAAAAGGGCACCACAGTCCCTGGCCTGGAAAAGATACATACATATACATATATATATATGTATATATATGTATATGTATGTATGTATATATCCATAGGGCTGATCGGAGTGTCTGTGATCATTTGCTGGGTCTGCGGGGAGGAAGGTTTGTGAGGGCCATCTTGACATAGAAGGTGACATTTGAACCACATCTTTGCTCACACATGGGAACAGGCACCCACATAGATGGATGAGGGCTAAGGACATCATATATATATATGTATATATATGTATATGTATGTATGTATATATCCATAGGGCTGATCGGAGTGTCTGTGATCATTTGCTGGGTCTGCGGGGAGGAAGGTTTGTGAGGGCCATCTTG